CAGACCTCTCCTGTCTCCCTGCTGCTCCCCTCAGCAGTGGATTTCAGTCAGTCTGCCTGTTCTGCTGCCCACTCTGTCTCTGGTGAATCCTCTCACCACCACCACGCCCCCCCACACACACACACATACACCTCTGGCCTGCACCCCAGCTCTTGTGTGCATAAATAAAATCTTAAGATAAAAAAGAAAAACACATACTCTGTATTGGGATGAGAGATTCTAGTTATCTTTTCTTCTGCTCTGAAGCACTTCTAGAGTAAGTCAATGAGAACAAGCAACGAAAGTCAGTAGGGCATTTAATTTCTTTCTAAATTTTCTCTGCAAGGTACTCAATAACTCTAAGTCAATTGAACTTGGACGACCTAGCTGTGCTGACTTGAGTCTCCAAACTTGGCACAGAATATCCCAAACCACAGGCCAGGGCACTCCCTGGGAGAGGAACACAGGTGTCTGGACAGAGGGAGAGGCTGACCCCCCAGATAAATCTTGGAACCCCACCCCACTGCCCCAGGAGGATTGTGTTCACTGGCTTTAGTGAAGTAAGAACAGCAGAAGAACCTGGGGTTCATTTAGACAAAAGTCTTTTCTCTCTGAGGGAAAATGTTCAGAGCAACGCAGACCAAAGATGGTTTCCCAGCAACCCCGGTTTGGTGGCTCAGGAAAATGCCCCCGTAGGAAGCCTTGTTTGTTCTCTGCCCATAGGTTGATCTGAACTGAGTCACAGGTACTAGCTTTCATTTTCAAAGGCCTCATGTCAAGGAGCGAGTAGCAGTCACGTGCCTCCCTGCTGGGCCATCAGTTGCTGTGTATGTCTGTGTTAACCCCGCTTGTGATCTGTGTGTGGTGCTGAGTTCTTTTATTTTTTTTATTGAAGATTTATTTATTTGTGCATGCAAGAATTGGGGTATAGCCTGAGGTGTGGGGGGTGACAATATTCACCAGAGACAGACGTGGGGAACAGAACAGGTCGATTGACTGAAATACACTGCTGAGGGGAGCAGCGGACGAGACAGGAGAGGTCTGCTGTGCCATGTGGGTTGCTCCCTGGCCGGGGATAGAACTCAGGCCACAGGGGCTGTGGATAGCTTCATGGTGCTGCATCTTAAACCCTTGTGCCACCAGGGAGGCCCCAGTGCTGGGTTATTTCTATATGACTCCTTCAAAAAATGATGGGGTGTGTGTGGAGAGAGAGAGAGAGAGAGAGAGAGAGCACACAAATTGAGAACTGAAGCAGGAGCAACAAGAGTGTCCACAGGCAAATCTTACCTTAAAAAATCAAGGACCCGAGGCCTCCCTGGTGGCACAAGGGGTTGAGTCTCAGCACTATGAAGCCATCACCAGCCACTGCAGCACAAGTTTGATCCCCAGCCAGGGAGCTACCCACATGGCACAGCAGACCTCTCCTGTCTCGTCTGCTGCTCCCCTCAGCAGTGTATTTCAGTAGATCCCCCTGTTCTGTTCACCACTCTGTCTCTGATGAATCCTCTCACCCCCCGCACCTCTGGCCTGCATCCCAGCTTTGTATGCATAAATAAACTAAAAAAACAAACAAAAAAGGACCCTTACATGGGTCTTGCAGAATATTCAGAACAGAAGAATCAGGTCTGCAAGGGATGGAACTAACTGGCAGAATTTAGTGCCCATCATGTTCACAGGAGTGGCCTTGAGAATCTACTTTGCATAGAACCTGGCCAACTCAGAGGTGATACAATGTGAATATTTAAAGTAGACTCTAAGCCCCTCCATGTGTATTTGATGTTCACTTGTCTGACATCTTGACGTCCACTTCCAAACAGATGCACTTGGGCTTGCTGGGGCGTCTGCAAGCACTTTGCCGAGTTTTGCCCTTGGTTTCAGCTGCCTGTCTCAGCAACCAGGTTTCCTTGGACTTCATTCACTGCTCTAGGGAGCCCTGTCACAACATGGCACGGACTGTGGTTCTGTGAGAGGGAGGTTGAAGATCAAGGGCAGCCCCGCAGCAGGAGGGGTGGAGCCTTTTATCAAGGCAGCTGAGCCCCCTGTCTGAGATTCCCAGGCCAAGAAGAGTCTTTCTTATGTGTTTATTTTTTAATAACCGTGGCACATCCTTAACTCCCCAGAAATATGTTTTCCACAGAGGCCAATCCCACATCCAAGTGCAGGTTGGACCGAGATTGTACAGCATCTTTCCTCACCAGCCTTGATTCCTGATCATTCCCTTTACATCTGTCCCTCGCCGTGTCAGGGAGAAATCATGCTTATTTTCACTCACACAGAAGAAGCCTGGAGATAAGCCCTCTTTCCCTTTTCCACCTTCCCCTGTAAGGGATGTCCTCAATCTTTCCTACTCGAGAACTTTGACTATGAAGTCTGAGATGCAGATGAGCAGGATGAAAGGCAGGTGCCAGCTAAGCCAGCCCAGGAGCCGAGCTTGCCCGGGGGCCACATCCACAGAGCTCTGCAGACCTCCCGTGGACCAGAGCATTGCCAGGCCCCCAAATCCGGCCCCTGACCCTGGGCCCGACCCCCAGAGGCACGAGAGAATGAGAAGCACATTTGTAATTTTTTTTTAACCTGGACACATGTCCCAGTTGGAAATTTGTTAGGAAGAAGCAAAGGAGGAGATATTGGATGACAAGGATGTGAAAAGCACCCTGTTTCGTGGCGGGATTAAGTGTATCTCTGCAAAGCACCTGGCAGTGCTTGATGAACCGATGGAAGCAGGAAACAGCATGTCCCTCCCAGGGCTCCGCCAGCGCCGGCTCACAGGCTGCAGAGCACAGAGGCCCGGATGCCACGATTTTGTTTTCCATCTAATTATCCACACTGTATAATTTCATCTATAGGGAGAAAACTGATGCCATGAGAAAAAAAATCACATTTGACCCATTTCCCATCACGAACAAAGCATTGAAAACTAGAAAAGCCGTTTTGCACAGAGCAATGCTTAGAGGCGCTCCATTCTTCATTCGGATGGAGCGTCTACAAGCTGTTAAAAGCCTCTACACAAGGCTTTTCATTCTGCCTGTGCTCGAATTCTCTGAGACAGTGATCTCATTATTGCTGTACCTGAAGCCGATGGCATCCTTAAACAGCTTACAGGACCTGGAATGCAGGCTCATGCACACACTTCTCAGGTCCTTTAAGATATTTATATTAAGTGGGGGCCTCCCTGGTGGTGCAAGGGTTGCTATGAAGCAATAGTAACTATGAAGCAATCCCCGGCTACAGAGCTGATCCACATGGTGCAGACCTCTCCTGTCTCGCCCGCTGCTCCCCTCAGCAGTGGATTTCAGTAGATGTGCCTGTTCTGCTCCCCACTGTCTCTGGTGAAGCCTCTCACCCCCCACACCTCTGGCCTACACCCCTGTTCTTGCATGCATAAATAAATCTTTTTTAAAAAATAAAGATGTTTATATTAAGTGACTCATGGGTATGTCAAGTCATGCTGTAAATCTAAACAGAAAATCTGAGGTGCATCTGATTTGGGAATGCCGATTTCACATGCTAATCAGGTAGGAGGATTGGACACTGAAGGCAGCTAGTACAACAGGATGTATTCATTGGACGCCGATGCTTCCAGCAAGATGAGGGTAGACAGCGTGGAGGAAGCAAAACGAAGGAAAATGAAACTAGATGTGTGTGGAAGAAGCTAGAAGGGGGGTGCATTTTTGTTGTGGTGGTGGTTTTCTACCTACTCTACTGTAGTACTCTAGCTCGGTGATAGCAGCTCTGAAACCCAAATCTGCAGCATGTGCAATTTTAAAAATGGATTTTGCATTCCTAAAGCAAGACAGGGGGAAAAGCATTATTTTGATCTCTGATGTGAACTTTTAGGACACTTTTGCAACTTGCATGATCTGAATAAATATCCATAAAAGAAGAAGATTTATATGTGTGCATTTAAAAAAGTAACTGTTTCTCAAGGCAAAAGAAAGAGGGAGAGCAAACAGGAAGGAAGAAAGGAAAAAAGAAGGAAGAAAATCATACCTATAGATTTTATTTTTATTGGTAACTCTTGGATTATGTGATTCAATTTACTTGTGTCTTTTAATTTAAGTGGAGAGAGAGTAAAAACGATTTGTGTAAATAACAACAATAACAAAAACCTATGGTATATAGTTATTGTGAGCTCAGCACAATCTAAAAATAAAACAGGTAATTCTGAATGTACCTAATAAGTTTTCAATTTATAAAGCTTAAAGCAACTCTTCATTCATAGATGATTGGATTTGTGCTCAAAATAATCACAATGAACATCTTTGAACAAGGAAAGAGTATACAAATTTGTCTTATTTCCTAAAATTTAAGCAATTCTATTCCAATCAGCTTATCTACTTCATAATGTGCATGAAATCATTTTAATTATATTTCACAAAATCATTCATTTAAATGATTGTTCCAAGTTCAATGGAAGAATTTCTTAAAATTCACAAGTCATTTGTTTTGTAAAGTCACCAAGACAGGGAATATACATAACTTCTGGGTACAAAAAATAAATACCTTTCCCTTCATTCTCTGCCCCTAAGTTCCATCCCTTCTGTAACCGGCCAAAGTTGTAGTTGTTCAAATCACAGGAATACATTTTCTCTCAAAGGATCTGCCACCCAGCCCCTCCCCCATCTTTAAGACCCTGTTCCTTCATCTGTCCTTGGAGAAGGTGGGAATTGGTCACAGCAAGCCTCCTTGTCATAGGACCTAGAAAAAGTTCCTGATCTCCTATATCTGCCCTTCCATAGAAAGTTTTTTTTTTTTTTTTTAAGTCAACAGGAACATTTAAAAAAGAAAAAAAAAAGTTTGAATAATAATGTCTTCTGCTTCATGGGTTAGAGAAAAATAGCTTCTAGCACTTGTTGATCATTAGCCGGGGAAACTGGCAGTAGGAGACTGAACTAGTTGTTGACATGGGTGACATGGGCTGTTTCTGGTCTATTTCTGCTGACTACCCCTGCTTACTAACCCCAAGATATGGTGACTGGGTCGGACAGTTGATTTCAGAGTTAAGTATCTCAATACTACAATCTATTGAGTGCATATCTTACATATCTTGGTTAGATGATATGAGGTATTTATAGGAAACCACTCATGATACTGTTTGATTTGTATACATATAAGGATTTATTATTCATCGTGACTGTCTATGTTCCTGTATTTATTTACTCCATCATTCTACCTTTATTCCCCATTACATCTCCATTGAAAATACAAGTCTATGAGATAATAAAGGGAGATAACAATGAAATCAATGAATTGTTAATGAATTGCGTTGTAATTCCATCCCTAATACAACATTTGCTAGCCAAAAACATCTTTTTAAATGATTAGAAATTGGCTAATTTTTAGATTATTTTTATATCAAGTTTAACCCATTTTACTTATCCCATCACCATCAGATGTTGATGTAGCATTCTTTAAAAGGTCTGTTTATAATTATCTGCCTTAAAGCGATTGGCTAGAGAGTAAAATGATTGAAGGGTGACAATGTAGGACTACATTTGGGATTCTACAGAGATTCTATTTAAAGTCAGGAGAGCTTTCTGATAAGGTGGTTCCTTACACTCAACCATGGCAGAGGTGCTGGTCTCCTCCGGGTTTTCACAGCTGCTGACAATGGCAAATGCACTAAATGACCTTCTTCTGACCTTGGTGTCAGAGGTTCCAGCTCCTCGGACTGGTGGGGCTTTCTCCATGCTGTGGAGCTGCTGGTCCTTCCAGTCCAACTGTTTGGCGCTGCAGAAGGGCGCATACACTTCGACACTTCCCTCGAACTGCAAGCAGTTCACTTTGTAGTATTTTCTCTTAACTTCCAAGACGTCATTAAACCTATGGCCCCAGAGAATTTCTCGGGGTACATAAGAACTCCTGGATTGATGGGACGTCCCCGTGGAATCCCCCGTGTAGATGAATGTCACCAAAATCTCAAAGTTGTCTTTGGCTACTGCTTTTCGGTCAAGGGCATACAGAGGGCTCTCGTGGTCAATCTCATGAACGATTGTCACCGGTGTGACAAGGATGATCTGGTCATTGACGAGCTTGAGGTCTTTAAAGGCCATGGTCATCCGCCCTTCACTGTCCTCCGTGTAGCGGAGCAGCTGAGCTCTAACTGTGCCCTCCACCACATGATTTGGCCTGAAGTCACCAATGCGCCACATCAGGCAGAGCTTCCCATCTCTCATGCCTATCAGGGCAAAGTAGCTGAAGCGAATGGTCTGTGCTCTCTTGCGAGCAGTTGCCATTTTGGCCAAGGCAGCACCGATGATGAAGGTGTTGATGATGCAGCTCAGGATGGACTGAAGGATCACCATGAGCACGGCCACCGAACATTCCTCAGTGACGCAGCGGTAACCATACCCGATGGTGGTCTGGGTCTCCAGGGAGAATAAGAATGCCCCAGTGAAAGAATGGACATTGTCAACACAAGGCGTGATGTCTGGATCGTTTAGTAGATCTCCGTGATGGAACGCGATGAGCCAGAAGACAGAGCCGAAGATCAGCCAGGAGAGGATATAAGATAAGGAGAATATCACAAACATATGGCGCCACTTGGTGTCTACCAGAGTGGTGAAGATGTCCACCACGTAGCTCCCCCATTCTCCAAAGATGTGCTTGAAGTAGACGTTGCAGCTGCCATCTTTGTGGAGCAGGCGACGTCTGGCTCTGCTCTTCTCAGCGACCATGTGCTCTGGGGGGTAGCCTGGGTACTTGGGGTCCACATTTACAATCGGATAGTTGCTGCTGTAGTAGCTCATTTTCTCTCGTGCCCCTGGGGCATCTAGGTGATGTCGGTGATGGCAATAGTCCTAGGTAGATTGTTACTTGTTGGCTTGGATTTTCAGTTACAACCTAACAAAAAAAAGAAAAAAAAAAAAAAAGGAAAGAAAAAGAAGAAGAAACACACTTATGCTTTAGTTTTTAATTTCCATCTTTCTAGCAATTTGCCAAATTTGAAGCAATTTCATGCCATCTGAAGTAGCTAAGATTTCATTTGAATGATAGAGACATTCAGTATTGATTACTCATTTGAGTTTCGAATCCAACTCAGTCATTAAAGGAACAAAATATGCAATTAGAAGAAATAACATTTTTATATATGTGTATGGCTTGAGTAAACACTATAATTATCCCAAATGAAGCTGCACTACCTTTTCTGTCCTAGCATAAGAAAGTGTCTTATTTTTGGAGACTCTTCTGGCATGAGGGCATTCAAAAAAAAAAAAAATCCTCTCATGTTAAAAGGCAATAACTCAGATATTTGTTTAGCAGTCTCATAAGCTTTGTGTTGAAGTCAGATGGTTCCCTTAGAAGAAGGAGGCAATTTAGAGTTTCGACCTTCATGTGAAAATGTCACTTACATACTGGCTGCTGTGATAGAAGGTCCTTCAGCTCCAGTATCTGCAGTTTCTTTTGCTTCCACGGAGAGTGTGTACTTCTCAGGATAGAACAGAACTGACAGGGACACTTTCAGATTAAACTCCTCTACCCTCCGCTCTACCATTTGGTCTTGACAGGAAAAAAAATCTTTTAACCTCTGAAGAGTTAAAACCACTCCCAGGTCAGCTTTCAAGAAGGTATAAAATTGCTCGGCTTTTGTCTCCAAACAGCCATCCCTTACCCAACCTCTCCCCCCGCTTTTTTTTTTTTTTTTTTTTTTTTTTGACACTGGAAACTTTTCTCTTTCCTTCTGAATAGAAGCCGAAAATTTGCCAGAGTTGCTAATCTTATTTTCCTCTTAAAGGCAGCAGACGACAACGGAACCCTTCCCTCTAGCTCCTCACGGAATCCTGAAGATTTCACAGTCATTCCTCCGCCACATCCTTGGTCTCCCTTCAAAGTGAGTCTTTTAAAAGCTCTGGAAGGAGAGACAGTTCTTCTCACCTTCCTGAGAGAGGCCAGTGGATTTCCCAGCTCAAGTTTGGAAGTAAATTTTAAAAACTGCAGTGTTAAGTGATCTTTTATGGCGTCTATGAGAAAAAAAAAAAAAAAAAAAGAGGTATCTGCAACCTAATTTTAATTTAGATTCATTTAGTACTTACTAGTTTACCTGATTTAGATGAGGGCAGGTAACAAGGGTAAGGAGAAACTTTGGAAGATCCAGTCAGTCGGCTGCATACAAATGCAGGCAGAATAGTGAGCCCCACCCCAATTCACCCCACTTGAACCAGCCAGGGAAATAGATCACTCAGTACTTCTCCAGGCCTTCCCTCCTGAGGCAGCCAGCAAGGGTTAATTTCCCTCCCGTCAAAGGGGATCACTTTCTTCTCCAGGGATCAGACCCACTTTACAATAAACACTTTGTTTGGTGGCCCACGAGGAGCGTGGAGTCCGCTTACGGCCCCAAATCCCATAAGTCATGTAGAGTTTCTGTGCGTCCACCCCACCCCACCTCCAATGCACCTCCTTCCCCCACCACACACTTCCCCCACCAGATCTCCACCTCTGCTTTGAGGGGTTATAGCCTCTCTTTTGTCGGCACTTCAACTGTGATTTGGGAAGACAACTGTACAATTTCAGGATGCGACCCGGGCTGACAAAATGCTCACTGGAATGTTGAATGTAAAATATTTCTACAAATGTCCCCAACATAGAGCCTTTCTTGTACAGCTGGCTGGTGGGTGGCTCAAGGACACCTTTAAACAGGAGCTGCTCTGGGCTTTTAGTCTGCTCTCTGACCCCCCCCACCCCCCACCGACCCACTATTCCAGACATGAAAATGGGTCTCCTTATCATCAAAAGCCCATAGGATTTCAAATTAAAAAGCAGATTTGGAGATAGGATTGTTTTCTTGCTAAAGGTTTCCAACCCAGTTCCTTAAAGGGAATGACACTCTTTGTGGGAGTCTAATAAGAAAGCGCAGCTTATAAATCAGGAGCTACTGGGGGACTCTGCTCTTTTCTGTTGCCAAAGAAAAAAAAGAAAGGTTTCCATTTGAAATGGCATTTGGTTGGCACCCTCTTGAATTCCAGTAGCACCAACAACTATTAGCAACGAGCCGTTTTAAAAGCACCTTCCACAGTATGCCAGTTGGCAATGAATTTTCAATGAATACAAGCTACAAATGAATGCATCTGAATTATTTCTGAATAATGTAACCATTTCAGGGATACAAGCTGCAGCTGTGAGAATTCTGTACCAATTCCACCGTGTCAGGACGGATTAAAGTGATCACCATTTCAGCTCATCCAGAGAAACGCTTTCGTCAGATCCCGTGAGGTACCTACATTTTATTCCTCCAATTCTTTGATTCTCCAGCCATGTACATGATGCACTCTTTCTAAGACTTTTTTTTTTTTAAGCTAAATGACAGATGATTACGAGATGAATTTTACGGAGTTCTAATCATTTCTCAGTCTCCATGATGAGCAAAGAAATGTACAAAGGTACTTTTGTCAAAATGACTAGACCAGAGAAATAGGTGTTCATCTCTTGTTGAGGATATTGTGTTCATTTCGGAACTTTCCAAATGTTTGCCATTGAAAGACAAGAGGCCAAGGCTGGCATTCTGCATTCAACCTTCATGTTGCTCAGGATTGAAAGTCAGCTTTAAAGGTGGCTGAGTGCTTTGCTAATCATGGTGTCACCCTTAATTCCTTAAAGCCAGCTGCAAGGGATCATTTCTGTATGTCCTTTTTTCACCTTCTACCCCTTAATTTCCGGTAGCGACTACATTATTAGTTGGAAACTCTTTTTATTCAAATGGTATTTGATCACTGTCATTAAAAATTGTGAAATATTAAGTTCTAAAGTAAATGTTGAATCAGGCAAGTCCCCCTTTGGCACCAATTTCAAACTATTTTGCCAGATCACTCGTGACAAAGGCAAGAGAAAAACCATAACCCTACCTGGCCATGACCTGGGGTTCCTTTCAGGTTCCCGGAGTAACAGTCCCTGCAGTCGGGATGACGATGGCGGTTTCCTGAGATGCCATCTCAGTTCATTACAACTCACAGACTCTTAGGAAAACATTGAGAGGCTCCCAGATTGACTGTCTCCCATGGGGGCACCACTTAAGAGACTGAACCCTGCAGTGACTTTTTCTCAGACCTTGCTCATTAAGTTCAGACTTTAAAAAAACCAGCTCCTTAGTCCACTTTAACTACTGAGATCTGCTTTTAGCCCTCTATTTTCTAGATCTCTGAATGATCAGGAAGTAGCCTTTACTGATTTAGCACATTTGAAATGGAACACAGCAAATGGGACACAAGACAGGGAGCATTCTCCACAAAACAAATGAGCATCCTGTTTCTGTCCCCGGTTTCTTGATATGCAAATGTGCCTCAGCCACACTCACCGATTTTTCAGCAATTCCTTTGCCACATCCTCTCAAATTCAGCTATGGACAAGACAGACGGCTCTTGTTGCTAGTTCAAGTGCAAGCATCTCATTAGCATGCTGTGTATCCACCGTTATGGCCAAGTCTTGACCACCGGGTGTCACTTTGATAATAAAATTCATCCTTGTCTTTATTTATTTTTATTTTTTATTTTTTTAAGATTTATTTATTTATTTATACAAGCACTGGTGACAGTCAGAAGCGTGGGAGGGTGAGAGAATTCACCAGAGCCAAGGGGAGAGCAGAGCAGGCAGACTGATGAAGTACACTGCTGAGGGGAGCAGCGGGAGGCAGGAGAGGTCTGCGCACCCTGTGGGGCCCTCGCCAGTGGCTGGAACCCGCACTGCAGAGGCTGTGGGCAGCTTCGCAGCCCAGTGCTCAACCACTGCGCCACCAGGGAGGCCCTCGTCCTTGTCTTTAGCATCTACTTAATACAACTATATTAATAGTTGGAGCCATTGTCTTTGTATTATTTGAGCTGCTCCGCAAATAATGCTCTAACGTAACTTCTGTAAAATACAATAAATAATGCCCACAGCCTTGGTGAGTCACACCGCCCTTCTTACCAGGCAAATGACTTCTTATCAGTCATCAAGTTACTTTCCTGGCAACTGATGGATGAGAAGAGAGATTTTATAGGAAACTCAAGAGCGGATGGAAGACAGCAGAAAAGGTGGCTGCATTCCCCGTGCAGCTCACTGTCTTTAAAGACCACCTGGGTGGGGATCTCCAGGCATGGGGAAGGTGTTGTAGGCAGCAGGAGCCCATGGGTGGGCTTTGCTTGCTGGAGAGCAAAGTGAGAGGCGTGTCCATAAGTGAGGACACAACCCAAGCAAGTGAGGTTATTTTGCTCAAAACCCAGGACCACCACTGGTCTCCCCAGCATCACACCTGAGCCTTATCTTGCCTGAGACCCACACAGACATTCAGAAACACTTATGTGTCTCTCCTGGGTCAGTCACTCAACCCAGCTTCACCCAGGAGCTGCTAGACATGGTGCATACTCCTCCAAATCCTCCCACTCCCTACTCTCAAACAGCTTCTCCTTTGTAGGTAAATCCTCGCATGCCATTTCCCTCTCCAGAGCTGACCTCAACTGGCTCTCCAGCTTCTGCTGCCTCTGTCCTCTTCTGCCTCCCAACCTTACTCTCCCACTCAGGTCCAGCTTCTCAGTGGCCACGGATTTTACCTCTTTCTTGATATCACTCATAAATTCTCCTGAAAACACTTAAGAAAGCTTTGTCTGTTTATGGTAGGCGAGGCGTTAGAGGACCCTGGGAGCCAACAACTCAGCTGAGAGCTGGAAAGGAGAAGCAGAAATCCAGGGGGTCTCAGACTGCTCCTGACCTTTTCTGGGGGGGCAATTTCTAGTTTGGGTTTTCCTTACGTAATATCTACATCCGAATAAAATACTCTGCGTCACCGAAATGATGCTGTTTTATAAAGAGGAGAAATCTGGAGTCTGGGGTTGTGTTTCTCCATCTTCTGGATGACGGGACGGTGCCGACACAAA